AGCCACACTTGGAATACTGCATCCAGTTTTGGTCACCACGATGTAAAAAAGATGTTGAGACTCTAGACAGAGTACAGAGAAGAGCAACAAAAATGATCAGGGGACTGGAGGCTAAAACATATAAGGAATGGTTGCTGGAATTAGGTATGTCTAGTTTGATGAAGAGAAGGACGAGGGGTGACATGATAGTAGTGTTCCAATATCTCAGGGGCTGCCACAAAGAAGAGGGAGTCAAGCTATTCTCCAAAGCACCTGAAGGCAGGACAAGATGCAATGGATGGAAACTAACCAAAGAGAGAAGCAACCTAGAACTAAGGAGAAATTTCCTAACAGTTAGAACAGTTAATTAGTGGAACAACCTGCCTCCAGAAGCTGTGAATGTTCCAACACTGGAAGTTTTTAAGAAGAGACTGAACAGCCATTTGTCTGAAATGGTATAGGGTTACCTGCCTGAGCAGGGGGTTGGACTAGATGACCTCCAAGGTCCCTTCCAACATTATTATTATTATTATTATTATTATTATTATTATTATTATTATTATTATAATATCTTATTTGAGCAGAGTTTGGATTAGAAAAGATCCCTTCCAGTTCTGGTAAAAAGGTGATAAATCAGCTGCGTTTGGTAAATCAGAAGAAGGGCATTCCACGCTGCTGAGGCCACCTGAACCTCAACTAAACAATGCATTTACAATTATCCCTAAACTGTAAATCTATTCTTTTAGCGTGAGTACTGACCATTCCAGTACCAGCAGAGCATCATTCAACTGGACAGATACCGTGTCCTTAAATAGTATCTCTATTTTGTCTAGAGTATCGTCTTGTTGATCCTCATACAATCTGCTACCCTTCCACAGCACTATTTTTTATGTACTGAATATTACAACATCTCAGTTCACATCTCTGGATAACCACTTCCAGGAGCTTCATATAGATGTTAAAAAGCATAGAAGATAACATGGTACCATAAGAGACTCCAAAGCCCAAATGCTATGAGTCAGAAGAATAACCTCCCAATACCTTCTTCTGGAAATGACCATCCAAGTAGGAGTAACACCAGAGCCATCGGTTGAGATGGGCAGCCATAGAATGGAATAAATAAATAAAGCTTCTGCATCTTAATTCAGACAGCCAGTCCAGGAGGATATCATGGTCAGTGGTATTAAAAGCTGCTGACAGGTTCAAGAGGATCAGCAGAGTCACACTCAGCCTGTTCTTTTCCTGACACAGTTCACAGGATGACTACACCAGTTACTATTAAGTTTCTTGCTAAGTCTGCAAGTGGTTTGAAATGGATCTAGAAAATCAGTTTCAACCAAGACAACGTGGTCGATTAGCCACCCTAATACAAAGAGACATGCTGTACCTATTGTACGATTGCCTGTTATGTAACAATCAGCAGATTAAAAGTGTTAATATAATTGCTGGTGTAAAATTAAGGGAATTAGCGGGAGGTGGGGAAAGAATCACCAATTCCTTCTCAGGTTGCTTGCATCCTACTTCTCCAAGTCTGTGCCAGATTTTGCTCCATTTATAATAAATAAATAAAATAATTAATTAATAATAACAAGAAAACAACAACAACAATAAAATATAACAACCCAGAATCTCTTAAGATACAATAAAGCTCCCAAACTTTCTTCTCCTTGCTTTTCCTTACCTAGTTAAAAAAAGACTTTCTTGAGTAATGACCTTACTAAACTTCAGCTAAACATATTTTTATTGACTGATTTAAACAATTCATATATCTGCCCATATCACAGTGACTCTCGATGATGAAAACCAAATAACACATTATAAAATGAATATCTAGAATAAACAGTGTACAAGGACTAAAATCATCCCATGTCTAGTTCAAAGACTGGAACTCACAAATTCTCAACCCTGCTTAATCTTCCAATCCAAACTCATGAGGGAACAGTTAGGTCTTTAATGCCTTATGAAAGACCAACAGGGTCAAGACCATTCTCAGTCTCTAGGCTGACATTGTTCAAAGGGCAGATGTTGTGGCAGAGAAAACATGATTCCTAGGCCTCATAATATGTCACTGCTGAATAGACAAGCTCTGGAGCATGCCCACTCTGCTAGTTTTGGTGGTAGGAGCAGAGATAATTGAAACAAGCAGTCCCACAGATAATGTGGCCCTCTGCTATGTAGGGCTTTATGGATGATCATCAGCCCCTAAAACTACACCCAGAAGCCTTCTGGGAGCCACTGAAGCTCACAGAGCAGAGTAGTACACGAGCATATTGTGAAACTCCCAAAACTGCCTGTGTTACTGCATTCTGGACTAATTGTACTTTCCAAATTCTCTTCAAGGGCAACTCAGTGTAGAGTGTACTGTATTACAGTCGTCCAACCTCCTAACCTCCAGAAAACAGCACATTAGTTTCTCAAGAAGAACTTCTTTTTCGGTAGGACTGTGAGTCCAGGAAGGCTCAAAAACTGCTCATCCAGATTCCCAGAGCCTCCAGATATCAGGAAAAAAACCCTCAACCATATTGCCTGGCTGATCTGAGGCAGAAATGTATAATTGACTATAGTCAATGTACTGGTGATGCCTTGCCCTATGTCTAAAGGTGACTTTGCTCAGTGGCTTCATGTAGAGATTTAAAAAAAACAGGGAGAGGGTAAAGCTCTAAGAAATCCCATGAAGCAGGGTCTTGTGTTCAAACTTTCCATACCCTTTCCCATCATCATAACTGGAATGGCCCTGGGCAAATGAGGAAACTATTATAATACTGTACCTCTTACAGGAAATACAGGCACATCCTGATTGTTCAAATTGAATGCAGATTTCTTTGCCCTGATGAAAATGTTCTGAAAACCAGAGAAGGTTGATAAATATCATGGTCTCTTTTTCACCATAACTGACAATATGTTTATAATGGAGAAGAAGGCTGAGAAACTGTAAGCCAAGGATAGGATGTTCAAATCTACAGTATTCCACTTTTTACTGAGAGAAAGAACCATTGAAACAATGTAGTTGTTTGGAATTTTGAAGGCATGGCTTTTTTGTGGCCTCTACTGAATGTCCCTGCTTTTAGAATAGTATCTTGATACAGGTGGCTGCAATCCTTGAAGCTTTTAGAAAAGCCATTAATATCTGGCTGTTTCCCCAGGCTTTTGAGTGAGGATGAGCAGTATTCCTAACTGAATAAATTATAGCAAATTATAGTTATGGTTACTATTTTATTGTTTCAGCAGGTTTCTTTTAACATATCAGTTGCTTTATTTTGTGCTTGTTGATAATTTTTGCATACCGTCCAGAATCATGTTGAGTTGGGCAGACATATGAAATGCTCTAAATAAATAAATTAACCATCATGAAATATTATGGAAATAATAAATGTCCTTAGATGTTGGGATCAATGGGAGATTTCCATTTACTTCATCTTATACATTTTGGTTTATTTCTTGCTTTTTAAACCAAATGTACATTACATATGTATACAGAACAGACAAGAATGGACAGATCTCTATCCTTCCAAAGCACAGGGCTTTCCAGAATGATTTTGAAAGTTGCCACATCACATTATACTGTATAAAATCATTCTCATAATATTTCAGGAAGCCTGGAGTTCACGTTTGTAAAATATGAGCAGGTAAGGACAATAGGAACTGGGTAATAACGTAGTGAGACCACTGAAGTATGCAAAGTTGGAGCATCTGTCCAGATGTGGTTTCTTTTTCCACGTTTTTTGAGAGGATGGCGTATTTTCTTACATTTGTTTTTTTAGTGTGTGAAGCCTGAATAAGTTTTATCCACTATTTATTTTGTTCTTCAATTGAAAATATATAGGAAATTTTATCACCATTTCTCAATACAAATATTATAGGATACGAGTTTGGAAGCTTCATGAAGTTGATAACCCACAATACTATATTAAATGCTTTATACTGAAGTGTTTTATATTGCTGTTAAATAATCTGTGACCCATTGGATAACCTTTCATAGATATTTCCTTACCTAAACAGAGAAACAGAATGACTATGGGCAGGCAAAAAGGAGTGTGAGTGTGAGCAATTATCACCTTCCTGCTAGCTTCTCCATTGATGTTGCTTGTGAGAAGCATCAGGGAGTGTGAGAAATCAGACCTCCGTCTCATCCTTTACTGACCCATGGAACTGTGTGCCACTTTGCTGGGGGAAGGGGGAACAAAGGGAGCTATGAACCATGAGAAAAACTAACCCTGCTCTCTAACCAAGTCTGTCCCCAAGGGCCGTCTCCCTACACAGGGAGGAAGAGGACTCACCCATTCAGAGATTTCAAATTTCAACCTCAGTTCCAAAGCAGCCAATCGCCACCAGTTGATTGGATGCAGGAACTAGGAAGGCAGGAAAGAAGGCAGGGATACAGCCCTCCCATTTTCCCTTGTGCCACACAATCTATGGGTTTCTGAGAAATGTAGTCTGATGGCACTGTGGTGCCGAAGCAGCCACAACCTTTCCATGAATATTGGCATTCTATAAGTTGGTTCATTTGAATTATCTTGGTTCGATCATTGTTGCCCTATAACTTCCAAATTCACCCAGCTGAACAGTACAAACAGACTCAAAGGTTTAGTATTATATAAACATGTAATTTCTATTTAGATTTGATTAGCAAATTGGTTATAAATGTGATTATAAAATGTTTACTTCTCTAACAATTAATTATTACAAAAATTAACATTATATCCCAGAAAAATGTGAGAGACCTGTTCATAACATGAGGTGGGAAGATTTCAGTTCAAAGTTTATCTAAACCATGACTTTATGACTTTATATTTAATTTGTTTTCTCTTTTTTGTTATTTGTTTAAAATAAATAACATTTTTGTAAGATTGTTAGGGAAAGTTTATGAAGGTGCTAATTAAGTAGTTGGGGAATATTATATAAAAATAATTATACTATAGTGAATAATATGTGACTGGTGTAAATTAGTCTTATAAGCTATTAAAATGTGAAAATACTTCCGAGTCTTGTCTTAATTAACTCAGTTTTCCCCTTTCTTTCAGAATTTTTGTGGATGCTTCCTTTATTCAGAACTTGGAAGAAAACCTGCCAGTTTTTAATGGCGGCTGCTGCCGCTGCTGGATGATCATCTGAAACTCTTAATAGAAGAGAAAATATTGCCGGATGGTTTTCTGTGACTTTTTGTGAATGAGTGAAGGAAGAAATGCCTCTACCTTTTGGGCTGAAGTTGAAACGAACTCGACGCTATACAGTATCTAGCAAGAGCTGTTTGGTAGCCCGTATTCATCTACTTAACAATGAGTTTGTGGAGTTCACACTATCGGTGGAAAGCACTGGGCAGGAAAGTCTGGAAGCTGTGGCACAGAGACTTGAACTTCGAGAGGTAGGAAAGGTGTCTGTTGGCATCTCCATCTTGGAATATAAGAGGATTAAAAACTAAATTGTAGTAGGTCAGATTCAGTTTTACATTTACCCTGTTACTATTACTATTGTCTGCTGTGGCTGGAAGCAGTTATTCAAATGTATTGAACAAAGAGCAATCTGTCACACAATTATTTTTGACGGAAAGCAGCAGGAATGTGAATCTGACCTTTTATATACAAAGCAAAGTGGGTATTCAGTCAGTGATGTAAAATTCCTCTATCATCTTTATGCACAACGGCTTCTCTAGCATTAGCATTCAGTTTTGACATTGTTTGTTGCCCAGAGATGGTCAGCTAGAGAAATTGAATAAATAAAGCATTCACATAAACAAAACTGGATTGTGCAAATTAAAAAATATCTCTGCAAGTGTGCCCACATATAGCATGTAGCAAAAGCTGTAAAGATTCTTCACTAAGAACGGATTGTGCTATAAATACCTGAGAGATTACACTTAGATTGCCTAGAATAGCAAGGTTACAGTCTAGGAACATAATATGAAAAACAAGCAGAGAAATAGAAATTAAAGTATTCTTAACTTTAGCAAGAGCAATTTCATTGAAATTAAGTAAGTATTGCCAGGAGATATTACCTGCGTAGTGATTATAATATAAATGTAGCAAGATTCTACTTCATATTTACACTCTCCAATGAAACTCACTGTTGTTTGTATTGTCCTGAGTTGATTGTGGAAATTGAAAAAACCTAGTTATTATAAGTACATAATTATTAATCCAACAAAATGTTGTATTAGTATCCCGTTCGTATCCCATTCAGTTTTCCAACCAATGAGCCACCTGTATTTTTTTCAGCATATTCAACTCCCACTCTGAACAGATTATAGACCGATGTTGGTAACACCATATGTGTTCAATATAACAGGTGTGGTTCATTAGGTTTATTTGCCTCTGAAGATTTTCTATTTTTGTAAGGGTAAATATTAGAGTTATCTATCTCTTGTTTTTTCAGTAATTTATTTTTTGTTAGATAATTAGCTAATTCTGGACATATGTTTGATGTTCATTTCTTGGATAATAATGTAGAAACTTAGATGGCTTTCGGTTCTTCATATTAAGGCTGGGATTTTCACAGTCTCCATTGTCCCTTCACTCTAGTGGGAGGAAAATATGCTGATTCACAACAAAAGGTCTCATTTAGATCTCTTTATAAGGCTGAGCAGGAGTCCCTTGGTGTGGCACGAGTGTTTTGTTACAAATTAATACATGGACCAGATCAACTGTATGTGGCATAATACTGGTATCAGTCTCCAGACAGGATGCTTTCTTTGTGTAGAAATGTTTTCCACACTAAAAAAAAAAAAGAATTTTAGGCAGCCTTGCTCAATGCATGGTGAAATTGGAGGGCAATCTGAATCTACTGCAGAAGTTATTGTCCATATTTTCTGTTGGACAGGTTAATAATTCTTTACTTTCTTCTGTTTTTTCTCAGGCAGCATTCATGATTCTCATGTAGATCCATTGTGTTATAAAACTATAACATCGGGCTCAGAGATGGTGCTAGGTCATGTGAGCTTATTGTTTTAGTAGAGATTTGAATTTGAACCTCACATGTTCTAGTACAATATTCTAATTGTTACACTGTTAAAATCCAGATTTAGGGTATTAAAACCAGACTATAAAATTTGAAAGGGTTCCCCTCCTTCATCTCAGTAAGCAATCTTGCAGAGATTGTTTTGGAAACAAAGTATGGAGAGGAAAGGGAAATATGCAACCCCCAAATATATAAGCAACATTCCTCAGAATATTCATTCAAACTGAAAATATGTCTATTATCTATGTTCATTTAAAAAAGCTTTCTATTTTAATCACTCTCCCACATTACATAATTTGGAAGACATTTTGATCATCTTCCAAGTCTTGGATGTTTCTGAGGAAAACTTTCCAGATCAGTATCTGAACACTAAACCTTTATGTCTGTAATTTTTAACTGGGAGAAACTGTGTACTATAAACCAACAATTATTCAACCAAAGTACTTCAAGTGGGCTTACAGAATTGTCCAAAATCCAGAATCCATGATTCCTGTATAATTGAAATTTGGTAAATTTGATAAAACATTTTATGACATAAAACCATCATAAAACATCTCTGAATATCTTCCTGAATTTTGAAAACCTTTTTTCAGTGAAGGCAGTACATTAAAAGTTCTTGCCATTGTTGACATCATTGTAAGGAAATGTCTCTGAAACAATGACCCAACAAGTCATGGGTTGTCTAGTTTTCTATTACAGGGCTTTTCACCCTTTTCACCCATTGTACCACTTTTAGGATATGGCAACATCCGAGTACCACCAGTCGCCTAGCAAGGTGTCAAAAACTTAATGACCAAAAAAAGGGAAAAAAGTGATAAAGTACAGGTAGTCCTCGACTTACAATAGTTTGCTTAGTGACTGTTCGAAGTTACAATGGCACTGAAAAAAGTGCCCCCCAAGCCATAGCCGAGCAAGACACCTGCCTGCCCGCCCGGCAGCGCTCTTCCTCCTGTCCGAGGTTTTCATTGTTGTGAGCATTTCTGTTGAGGATTGGCAGCGGGGGTGGGGTGGGCGGGTGTTTGGTTTTTATTCCCCCTGTCTGCTGGGTGGTTGCAGCAGGTTTTGGTCACTTCACATGACCCTGGGACACTGTGACTGTCATAAATATGAATCAGTTGCCAAGCATCTGAATGTAAATCACAAGACCCTGCTACAACATTCCAGCTGATTGGTGCTTCTTCTGGGCTCAGCAGAAGCGCCAGGATCAGCGCCGAGCTCCAGCTGGAACCTGGTGCTGATCCTGGCGCTTCCGCTGAGCCCTGACAGCCCTGCCGCTCCAGTCATCCTCGCTCAGGCTTGTGCGGTGCTGCCACCGGTTCAGCCTATTCCCCTCCCCCACTACCACTTTTCTAGGATGGTCGCGTACCCCCTGCCAGGTGCCAGTGTACCACAAGTGGTACCCGTACCACTGGTTGAAAAGCCCTGTTCTATTATAACCAGATATTTTGCCTGTTTGAGGGGATTTGTTTTTAAATTTCATTTTATTTCTACTTTATCCTAAGGAGCCTAGGAAAGCATACCTTTAAACTACAAGATAGATTAGGCTGAGGAGAAGCATTGGCTGAAGGTCATTCAGTAAACTTCATGTCTTAATGACTAGGTTCATACATTCTGCTAAATTTTGATTTGTTTGAAATATGATACATTACATAGCTTCACACATAATACTAATTCTTAAACCATCATTGACAATTGCAGCTGGATTAACATATCACTTTTTGACAAACAGGAAGACACTATAACTGAAGTTTTAGGAACCTCTTTGGAGCATAGAAAATGGAAGACAGTGGGACATGGATAATGTCCTTGGAATGAACATTGAAATACTAAGTAAGCCAGGGAGGCTACAAACAGGGTAAATAGTTGAATGGCCTCTCTTTCAGATTGCAGCCTAACTAAGGAAGTCAATATGATATCGATGATGATCCCTTCCAAAACCCTGATCTTTAATTCTAGAACACCAACTGATAAAAGGACTATTATCTGTTATTTAAACATTGATGAAAACTGCTGAACTAGAAACCTGACTGACAGAAGAAGTGACAGTTCATCCTGCTCACCTTTGTCTATTTGGGCTATTCTGTTCTACAACAGACTAATAATGATAGATAGAGGGATGGCTTGGTCATGGTCTACATCAGTGTTTCTCAACTTCAGCAACTTTGTAGATGTGTGGACTTCACCTCCCAGAATCGACAAGCCGGCATGCCGGCTGGTGGATTCTGGGAATTTAATTCACATATCTTAAACATTGCTGAGGTTGAAAAAAACTGGTCTATAAACATTCTATCTCACTGACAAAATGCTTGACATTCTGCCATTTTTCTGCCATTTTCAGCATGCTAATAGGTTTGGATATAGATTCTGTTACTGAAAAATCCCAAGCATTTTGTAATAGTATTCATGCAAGTTAATATCGTTTATCTTGCAACTAAAATATTGTATTATCTGACTGGAAAAGAGTTTACTCTTCTACTTTGAATTTGAGTAAGTTGGAGCTTAGGACTTTTGAAAGTAAGACATTTTAGTTGCACTTTATATTCCATATCCACATCTTTTTTTAAAACAAAAATATGATATGTTACAAAGACATTTCTCAGCTTATGACCCAATGACTGTTTGCAGTCACGATGGTCTTGCACTGGGTGCCTTTTGGCCCATAAACAGCCATAAAGGAAAGGAAAGGGTAATACTTAAAGGAAGTTCAACTGGTACTAACATCAAATATTCTTGGTGTTACATTAAGATACATTTATTTACCCAAACATTTGAAATGATTTTATAGCATTTGTCTGCAATTTATAGATTTTGTTACAATCCAGGATTGCTTGTTTTATTTTGATTATAGTACTCATATCTTTGAATCCATTCCGATGAATAACATACTAAAAGTGAAATAAGAAATATAAATCATGTTTATCAGTAGATGGGGTATAATCTAAATCAAGACTGATATGGGGATGTTGAGATGGTCTCCTGCCTTGACACATTATTAATAAATGTATTGTGAACTTGCAGACCTTAGTACTTCTAGGTGCCCATTAAAATCTCTCTTTACAACATGGTATTTGAAATATTATGAAGAGGACACATTCTATTGTATGTCTATATTTCCTATTTCTAGATTTATTTCTAGATTTGTATTCTCTGTTTTGAACTTTGGTTCAAGTTAGTAAAAAAATATGTCAGGAATTAGTAAGGTAACCAACTTTTTTACAATGAAAAGGAGGACACAAATAAATTGAAGAAAAAAATATCGTAAATAAAAGAAACATTTTATTCATTGCAACAATAATACAGAATACACTATAATATGATAAATGCATAATAAAAACATTTGTAACAATAACATTTTATATTGTAATTATGCTTACATGCCGCGCCCCCGCCCTCCAGCACTGCTGCCCCTCT